TGAGGCCTGGAGAAGCCAACTCACATCGTCAGGGTCACGCATCTAGAAAGGTTTGGGGTCAAGCCTTGGGCCACAGCTCTCTGACTCGAGAACCACATTCTCTCCATTAGAACAGCACCTCGCATTTCAGTTGTGAAGTGTACAAAAGCAGCAAAATGGCCCAGGCTCAGCCCTGGAATAATTGATAGGTTATGTATTTCCATCTGGTAAAGAGATATATTGAGGTCACTCCCTGGATGGGAGCAAGGGGCCGGGCTGAGCCCCTGATGGCGTGGCCACAGTTGCAAGTAAGTACAGCCTGCTTAGCACACCTGGCCAGGAATGTTGTGTGCAGGAGATGGGGGGGGGGGGGGTGGTGGGGCAAACATCTGAGACACAGGTTTGGAAACTGGTGGGGGGCGGGGGGCAGCAGGCCAGAGCCAGCCTGGAGATAGATTTTCTTTGGCCTCCAAGTGTTGTAGGAAATTTTAATTAGTGCTGATCTTTAAAGCTCAGGACATTTTAAGTAAAAATCCAATTTTCCAGCTCTTCTGAAGATCTGGCAAGGCTGGGCCTGCATTCCAGTTAGCGAAATGCACCCGGGGCTGAGCTGGAGCCACCTGGTCAGAGGGACTCCTGCCTCCAGGCGGCTGCAGCCCCACCTGCCCTCGTCTCCTCTTTCCTGCATCAGTGGGCGTCTGAGGTGGCCAGAGTGCTGGGTGTTTAGTCAGAGCAGGGGTGGGGAGGAAGGAAGACGGTAGGAAGAGCTGGGGGCACGGGTAGGGTCAGTCCTGACTGTGACCCCCTAACCTGGGAGCAGGGCTCGGCACTTCTACGTGCTGCATTTATGTGGTCTTTGCAGCAGCCGCGGTGAGGGCTCCCTGTCAGAGACGGCGGGTCCCTGTTCGGATTGCACAGCTGGTCAGTGATGAAAGTCAGAGCTCCCACGTGGGCATCGAGGCTCCCTATGCAGCCCTTGTGACCTCTCTCTTGTTTCCCTGTGGCACTTTTCAGCCGCCACACTTCTGTCCGGGCCCTGAGCTTGCAGGACTGAGTGGTCAGTGCTTTGGGGAGGGGGCAGAGCAGGGGCAAGTGCTTCGCAGACAGCACTCCTGTGAGCGAGAGGCTTCAGGACCTCTAGGCTGCCCTCTTTGAATCTAGGGCCTTTCCCTGGACCAGAGTACCCTGAATCGGATCTTAGCATTCTGTCAGTCATTTGTTCAGTCGCATGTTCATTGAACAGCTTGGGCCTTACCTGCCTGGACAGATGATACAAATATGACTAAGACCGTCCTGAGCCTCAGGAAGCTCTCAACTTGGTGGAGGAGACCGGCACAGAAAGCCCATCAGCAAACGATGTGACCGGTGGAGCCTTGAGAGGTGGGAAGAGGAAATGATGGGCACAGAGAAGGGGCCCTCGCCCAGTGGGGGATTCGGGAAGGCCTCCCAGAGGAGGTGAAACCCGGCTGAGCCTCACAGGAAGAGAAGGAGTTGGTGAGAAGGAAGGACATTCCAGGCGGTGGGGCTGGCTGAGAGAGGAGACACAGGACCTTGAGTTGCAGCAGGGGAAGGAGACGTGGTGAGGGCTGGTGATTAGGGGCTTGGACAGTGGGGCACAGCTGAGGGTTTTATACAGGACAGTGACAGTTCCCAGAGAGACCTCTGGCTGCAGCATGGAGGCTGGGCTGCTGTGTCCTGGGTGGGAAAGGGTGGTGGCCTGGTCCAGGACCATGGGAGCAAGGATCATAAGGGGGATAGATTTGGAAAATATTGAGGAGTCAAAATGGGCAGGATTCGATTATGGATCAGATGTCCATGGGAGAGGGAGGAAGGAACCTGCCCGGGTTTCCCCTGAGTGAGTGATGCCCACAGAGATACAAGACGCCAGGCCCAAGTGTGCGTCTGGAAGGGGGCAGTGGTGGACGGTGCCCACGGCGGGGCTCCCACACA